GTATCTTCCTCCTTATTACTTTTAAATCAAAGCAGCTACCAGTTATTTTTGTAGTTTCTGTTCTGACTAACTGTATTACAAAGTGAGTCGTATTAGGTTGGATTCAATTTATTTATCACTATATGAGAAGGATCTCACACAACATTTCACAAAGATTTCCCACAGAGGCCAAATCAAGCTGTGTCATTGAACTGCCATTTGTTGATTTCTTTATAACTCCATACAGCCACAACAAGCAATTGCTTAAAGCAAAAGTAACATTGTGACCAAAAAACAGAGACTTAGGAAGTGTGGAAGGCTTTGATTATGAAATAAGGTAGAACAACAAACCATATAACACATGTAAGAAAGTATGAAGGAGGATAAAGGCAAAAGAGGTAAAAATACAAACAGAGCCAGTAATCACATCAAAACAACCAAACTTACTATATTGGGGGGATTTTACCCCATCTCAAAACTATCTGCAATTATTGTTGGACACCAATTTTAAGATAAACAACCTTGCCCCACCTGCAGACATTGTCAAACTGGGGAAACAATTATCAAATTCTATTCAATTCGTATTCATATCAACATCTTTTCATCAATGTTTTGATTACATATCCAACAAAGCTGACCAAACAGCATCGAGAATAGTCTACGGGTTAGAAGTATGTGAACCCTAAGCTCACTAAAAGCTGGTCTGCAGATCAAGACTGTGGTTGTGCTGTGGCAGCTTTCCAGGTGGGTGAATGTGAATCAGGGTGTTCCTGAAAAGAGAACATTGCTCTTAGTGAACCTCTGAATAATATGGTTTTAAAAAAAAAAAAAAAAAAAAAAAAAAAAACGCTGACGTAATTTATTCCACTTTAAAACGCGAGTCATCTTCTTAAATGAAGTAACGATGTTCTTTTAACAGCTAAATGATGAGATGTGCCCAACGTTCCCTGACAGGGCCAGTACAGAACTGTGAGGTTTTGGCTGGTGACAACAGCAGAGAATCATTATTAATTCCCACCACTGTGCTTTATGTAGAGAAGGAAAAGGTGAAGAGCTAACGTAACTGATACAGCAAGCTCTCATTACCATGGCTTCTCTTGTGGAGTGGCGTCCCTCATGCTGTATGGGGATTATGCCGGCTT